GATATCTTGAGGCAAATGAATACATTTTGGGAAATGTAAGAGTTTAGAGAAAATTATTGAAAAGAGTATAGAAAATTTTATGAATGTTATTTAATTCCCTCAAGTTTCACACTTAGGTAGAAAAAAGTAAAAGTCATAACTTGAAAATACTCAGCAGGTGAACTAACCATCTACTAACTTAATCACATCATTTTGTTAGTAATTTGTAATTTTGCAAAAAATTTAAACACATTAAATAAGGTATAACTAACAAGATGTTAATTTGTGTTACATTTATGTTTATAATAACATATATGGTTCACTCTATATACCTAAAAAGGCCTATAGCAGTTTGTCCTCATGGATTTTCTTTAAGTAGAAGCAAACCAAATGGGAAAAGATAAATGTACTTGGCAGTATTTTGCCCTGTCCTTCCCAGAAGTAATGGCCTAGCAGAAGATAGTTTTCAATCCTCACATGCTTTTTATTATATTTTTGATACTATGTAGTTATATATGAGAAGAGTAATACATCAAAACAATAAAAATGGTAACATGTATGCATAGGTGTTTACAATGTCTTGTGGTCACAAACATCTGGACTGAGAATATTCTGAAGTATATCTTCTTTTGTACATGTGGGAGAAATTCTAGTCCAAATACCTTGGAGGGAAGTTACTAATTCCAGGGTATATTTTTCATCTTTACCAAATACACCCAAATTGCTTTTGTAGTTTCTCTTTTTTGCTTAATGTTTGATACGTTTAAAGCCTTGACATTAATACTTCATGTGTATATTTGGAACAGTTACAATTCCCAGTTTGATTCTTTTCAATTGTATTTAAGGAATAAACTTATTCAATTTTTGTATGTCTGAAATGATAGTGTATGCCTATTCAACTTTAAATTTATTTTCTGCTCAGCACTTTGAAGATATTATTTCATCTTCTGGCTGTTTTGATACTATTGTGAAGTTCAAGTCCCAATATTGTTTCTCTGTAAGCAGTCTTTCTTTCTTTAGACTATATTTAAAACTTTTTCTTTAAATTTTTATGGCCTGTCCTTATGATGCTTAGAATAATAACAATCATTATTAATATTAATTATTTATTATTATTATTGATACCTGAGTTCTAACAAACCGGAAAAACTCCAATGTGAGGTGAGAGTAGCCTGAGGTTTTAAAGATGATGTAAGCAGTATATATTCCAAAAACATCTGAGGAAAGACCCAAAGTTAGCAATTCTTAGAAGACGCATATTACCATGAGGAACCAAGATACATAAACTAAATGTCTAATTTTTTTTTTCCTTGAGGACTGATCTCAGCCTATTCTTATAATGATAGTAGACATATTTGTGGCTTCCATCTTTATGTTAGAGTTCCAAATTTCTTCTTATAATTTATAATCTTTTCATTCCTTTAACTTTGTGGCTGCTAAAAAAAAAAAACAACAACAAAAAAAACCACTCTTAATGTATTAAAGAAATTAAGAAATTTATCTAGCACTACCAGCATAGTATCCCATTATTGTCCTCCCTTATCAATTTATGACCCTAAGGATTGTTGCTTTTTTTTGGCCAAAATTATGTTATTAAGAAGACAGTTTGTTAGATTTTTTAGGCATTATAGTAGAATGGTTCGTAGTATTACATTTTGGACATAGGAGAATCTTTGTATTCTATTAGTTATATACTTATTTGTATTTTATGGTAATTGTGGATTTACATGCAATTGTAAGAAATAATATGAAAAGATTCTGAAAACTTGTACCCTATTTCTACAAATGGCAACAACTTGAAAAATTATAATGCAGTATCACAACTATGATATTGATACTAATGTAAGCCATCATTAATGTTCTAATTTCCCCAGTTTTTCTTGTACTAATGTGTATATTTGTGTGTCTGTTTAACTGTACGTATTTCATCACCTGTGTAGGTTTGTTATCCTACAAATCCTGCATATCCTGTTATCCTACATATCCTGTCAATGTTATGATTTAGAAAAGCTCCATTATCACAAACCTTCCTCACTTTGTACTATTACAACCACACTCTCGTCTCCCCCCACTTCTTGCATACACCTCTCTCTCATGTCTGTCAACTACTTATTTGTCCTCCTTGTCCAAAGACAAGGTAACTTGTCTTTCCATCCTGTTCACCTGGTCTTACACAGTGTGGCAGTTTTTAAATTAAAATAATAATAATAATAATAATAATAATAATAATAATAATAATAATAAATAAGACGAAATACCCCAGAAATCAATTTGAGGATTGTCAGAATGCACTCCACAACTAAAGGAAGAGGCCACATTGAAGAAGATAAAGAGTGTGGAGGTGTGGTTTAGGGGAAAAATGGATTGCCAGTGCTATGGAGAGAAAAAGGGCAGAAAAGGACATGAGACAGAAGAGCACACAGGGGAATGCACAAGGAGAAAGTTTCCCCCAAGCCACTGGCTTATAAAATGAGAGGGGCTGAATTGTGTGAGTTCTTGCAAGCAGCAGGGATTAAAGGCTGGAGATTTAGAGGTCAGTAGGCTTGACTGGGATCTAGCCAAGATGGCACGCTGCTGCTCTAGAGAGAAGGCAGACAAACGACCTGGGGGCAGACAGTATGGAAACAGTGATCTGAACAATGTCTGGGGCACAGAAGGGGGTAATTTGCTGTTCTCGGAGATAGATTTGGGTTGTTTCCACTCTTCTTGGGGTCCCCCAAATATCCTGAGGTCCTGAGCCTGCCACAGGCTGCTTGATTACACCTGTAATGAAAGTACCTAGCCAATTTGTTTTCCAAAGGGGCTGCACTGGCTCCATAAAGTCAACCTTAATACCATAAAGTTGTCTGGTCATATCTGAGCCTATGCATGTCTCTCTCAAATATGACATTCTAGTCAAAGCCTTGGTAATGTAACCAATGTTCTCAATGGTGACATTACATGAGGACCAGCTTCTTATTGAACTTATGCAAATAACTACGATTATTTTTGCATTTTTGTCATTGCCACAAGCCCCACCAAACCCTTCTAGATATGAACTTACAGCTAATACACTTCTCACATCTGGCATTAACACCACCAGGGCCTTTATTTGTTGGATTATTGTTTTGATCTTTAAGATAGCCTCTTGTGTGACTGGCTCCCCAATCCCATCAGCTTCCCTTCTTAACCAAGGCATTTAAAAGTCTTAATATATGTGTTAGATTGGGGGAAAAAAAGTTTTCCAGTCAGCCAATAAACCACGAAAAGCCTATAGTTCCTTTTCCATTTTAGGGATTGGGATTTATCAGTGACCATTGCTGGCATCACCTTTGTCTTACCTAACCAGATGACACCAAGGATCTTTACTGACTAACCCAGCCCTTGGATCTTGTCGATGTTTACTTTCCATCCTCATGACTCAAGTAACCTGTAATAATATGGCTGCTTAAGACAGGGAGGTTAAATCTTCACAGGTTAACATGATATCACCCATATAATGATAAAACACCATCTCCTTTGACAATACCCATTTTTCCAAATCTCTGGCTACCATCCCATGACAAATTGAGGGACTGTGGAGATCCCCCTGGGGAAATGCCTGGAAGGTCCATTGTCTTTCATTCAATGTGAAGATGAATTGGTTTTAGGATTCAAGTCCTGATGGAGTGCTGATAGATCCAGTACACAATAATGTGTCTTAATGGATGCCATGACTTTCTATCAGCAGACTATATTTAGTACTGCTGCATGGATGGGCAGAGTAACTTTGTTGAGTTCCCTATAATCTATTGCCACTCACCAGGTCCTGTTATATTTCTTTATAGGCCACAAGGAACTACTGAATGAGATTTGAGTAGGCCTAATTACCCCCACCTTTTCTAATTCTTTAATGGTAATGGTAATCTCATTATTTGCATTTTTTTTTTTTTTTTTTTTTTTTTTTTTTACTCTCCAGGAACAATAGCTGTATAGGTTCTCATTTTGCATTATCCATAGCAATGGGTTTCACTACTTGGATGTGCAACCTGAACTCCCCTGTCATTGTAGTTAGATCCAGATCCTATAGAACATCTATACCCAAAATATATTCAGAAATGGGGAAAACATGCACTTGAAAACAGTAGAGAGGGAGCCTACTGATCCGTAGGAGAGACTATTTTGTCTGACATTGATAAATTGTTCCCTATAACCATCAATAACCTCTATATCTTGCTGAAATTTTGAGGGGTTTCCATAGGTAAGTGCATTCAGCTCCAGTGTCTGTTACAGCTAATACAGTCCATTTGTTAGAGACCAATATATGGTTAAGTCAACATGGAGCCTCCAGTTGCTCCCTATTGCACACAATAGAGGGTAATGTTGACCTAACCCTGAGTCTCTAGGGGTAGCCAGTATCCATCCCTGAAGTTCTTCAATTAGGGGGACTGGGTGATACATTTTGATTTTTTGAGCCTTCTTTCAAGGGATTAAATTATTTCCAAGGGGAACCAGGAGGACAGGAAGCAGCAGCTGCACCGGAGCCAGGGGGGCGGGGGGCAGCAGCCGCGCCAAGCCCCATTGAAAATGAAACCAACTGCGAAGGGCCAGCCTGCCGAACTCGTGGGCGCACCCAGCGTGAGCCAAGCTCTCGCCTCCCCGACTCCACTGTGGCCCTACCCCTGTGGGAAATAGGACCCCCCGATGAAACGGGCAACCCCCGACTCCAGTACTGGCCCTTCTCCACCAGTGACCTTTATAATTGGAAAACCCAAAATGCTCGGTTTTCTGATAACCCTAGAGATCTTATAGCCCTCCTAGAGACCATAATGTTCACCCACCAGCCTACCTGGGATGACTGCCAACAGCTTTTGAGAATCCTGTTCACCACGGAAGAAAGGGAGAGAATTCAACTTGAAGTGCGGAAGCTGGTCCCCAGGGAAGATGGTTGACCCACTGTTAACCCTGACCTCATTAATGCAGCGTTTCCCCTGACTCGGCCTAATTGGGACTACAACGCAGCAGAAGGTAGGGGATGACTGCTCATTTATCGCCAGACTCTAATGGCGGGTGTCCGGGCTGCAGCACGCAAGCCCACCAATTTGGCCAAGGTGTACTCGGTAGTACAAGGTAAGACAGAGAGCCCTGCCACCTTTTTAGAAAGATTAGTGGAAGCCTTTAGGCAGTATACCCCCATGGACCCCGAGGCCCCCGAAAATCAGGCCGCTGTTGTAAGGTCTTTTGTAAACCAGGCTGCCTATGACATCAAAAAGAAACTCCAAAAATTAGAGGATTTAGAAGGAAAACAGATCCAGGACTTACTCCGCATTGCTCAGTGGGCATATAATAATCGGGACGCTCCAGAAGATAAACAGCTCAAAGCCACCAGGAAAATGACTAAAGTCTTAGCTGCCATAGTTCAGAAAAATCAAGGGCCCACAGGAGAACAGAAAACTCGCCCCCCTAGGCACCCCCTAGACAAAGACCAATGTGCCTACTGTAAAGAAAAAGGACGTTGGATTCGTGACTGTCCCAAAAAGAAACAACTGCGCTCGGGATCAGAGCCATGGCAAACCAAAGTGGCCCCCATCCTATTTACCCAGGACTCAGAATAGGGAAGACGGGGTTCGGACCCCCTCCCCGAGCCCAGGGTAATCCTACAAGTTGAGGGGACCCCTGTGCAATTCCTCGTGGACACAGGAGCTCAGCATTCAGTACTCACTAGCCCTCATGGAAAAATCTCTGATAAGTCCTCCTGGGTCCAGGGACCTACAGGAACTAAAAAATATCCTTGGACCACCCAATGAACCGTGGATCTAGGGACAGGAAGGGTAACCCATTCCTTTTTGGTTATCCCGGATAGTCCCTGCCCCTTGCTGGGAAGAGATCTCCTCACGAAAATAGCTCAGATTCACTTTCAGCCTGAAGGGCCTAAAGTGACTGACTCCCAGGACCAACCTATCTCGGTCCTCACCATACAGCTGGAAGATGAATATCGGCTTCACCAAACTCCACCCTTCCCAGAACAGGATATTGACTACTGGCTCCACTGGTGTCCCGAAGCCTGGGCAGAAACCTGGGGAATAGGGCTAGCGAAATATCGTCCTGCTCTATTCATAGAAGTTAAGCCAGGGGTCGACCCCGTGAGGGTCAAGCAGTACCCCATGTCAGCAGAGGCCAGGCTGGGCATCACCCCACACATCCGCCGTCTCCGCGATGTCGGTATCCTTAGACCATGCCATTCGGCGTGGAATACCCCTTTGTTGCCTGTGTGCAAGCCTAACAGTGGAGATTACCGGCCAGTGCAAGACCTAAGAGAGGTCAACAAACAGGTTATGGACATTCACCCTACCGTGCCCGACCCTTATACTCAGTACCCTCAGCCCAGACAAACAATGGTACACTGTCCTTGATTTAAAAGATGCCTTTTTCAGCCTGCCTTTGGCCCCCAAGAGCCAAGACATCTTTGCATTCGAATGGGCGGATCCAGAAAGAAGCATAAATGGACAACTCACCTGGACCCGACTTCCACAAGGATTTAAAAATTCCCCTACCCTATTTGATGAAGCCCTGCATGAAGATTTAAGTAAGTACCAGAAATTAAACCCAAATGTGTCTCTCCTACAATATGTAGATGACCTCCTTATTGCAGCTGAGACCCGAGAAGCCTGTCTCGTGGGGACGAAGAACCTCCTGCAGACGCTGGGGAACCTAGGGTACCGCGCATCCGCTAAGAAGGCCCAAATCTGAAAACCTGAGGTAATATATCTGGGGTACCTACTAAAAGAAGGACAAAGATGGCTCACTGATGCCCGGAAAGAGACTGTCCTCCGCATTCCGCGACCCACCACGCCTCTACAGGTGAGAGAATTCCTGGGGTCTGCAGGATTCTGCTGGTTATGGATCCCAGGTTTTGCTGAAATGGCCAAACCCCTTTACGCAGTCTCTAAAAACCAACCATCATTTGAATGGTCTGCGGAAGCTGAGCAGGCATTCCAACAGATAAAGAGAGCCCTCCTATCGGCCCCAGCTCTAGGACTGCCCGATATCTCTAAGCCTTTCCACTTATATGTGGACGAACATAAAGGCATAGCCAAGGCAGTGCTAACCCAGCATCTAGGTCCATGGGCCAGACCAGTGGCCTATCTCTCAAAAAAACTGGACCCTGTAGCCGCAGGATGGCCCCCTTGTCTCCGGATAATAGCGGATACAGCCCTAATGGTTAAAGACGCCGATAAGCTATCCCTGGGCCAAGAGTTACATGTCACCACACCCCACGCCATCGAAGGAGTGCTCAAGCAGTCCCCCGATAGGTGGATTAGCAATGCCCGGATGGTCCACTATCAGGGACTCCTGTTAAATCCCTTGCGGATCACATACACCTCTCCTCGAACTCTAAACCCGGCCTTGCTGCTACCCGACCCTGACCTGGACTCCCTGCTCCATGACTGTGCCAACATCCTAGCGCAGATCCATGGAATAAGGGAAGATCTACAGGACCAGCCTTTACCTGATGCTGAGGTCACCTGGTTCACGGACGGAAGCAGTTTCGTCCATCAAGGACAGAGGTATGCGGGGGCAGCAGTGACATCCGAGACTGAAGTAATATGGGCAGAGGCTCTGCCCCCAGGAACTTCTGCCCAAAGGGCAGAACTGATTGCCTTGACACAAGCATTAAAAATGGGGCGGGACCGCAAAGTGACTGTATATACAGACAGCCGGTATGCCTTTGCCACAGCCCATATACATGGGGCAATATACCATGAGAGGGGACTACTCACTGCTGAAGGCAAAGATACCAAAAATAGAGATGAAATTCTGGCCCTATTGGTCGCTATTTGGGGCCCTAAGAAACTGGCCATAGTACATTGCCCGGGTCACCAAAAAATAACTGATACAATCTCTTGAGGAAATAATCTAGCTGACCAAACTGCACGCCAGGTAGCGCAAAAACCCATCCCAGTATTACCTGCGCAGCTACCAGACCCAGGGCCCCGAGATTTACCCCCACAGCCTGAATACTCAGAAGATGATCTTATCTGGATGCGCAAGCTCCCAATGACCCGAGTTACAGATGGATGGTGGAGGGACTCCAGAGATGCCTTATCCTTCCCGAAAAATTGGGCCACGCAATCCTGACAAAAATACACCACTCTACCCACTTGGGGCCCCGAGGACTTCAAGATCTCATCAGACAATCCAAACTGGTATTAAGAAACATCTCTGACCAGACAGAAAGGGTTGTGACAGCCTGTTCTGCATGTCGACTCCAGAATGCACACCCACACGCTACAGCCCAAGGCCACCGTGAAAGAGGAACCCTACCAGGATCCCACTGGGAAGTGGACTTCACCAAGGTAAAGCCCAGCAAATACGGCTATAAATACTTACTAGTGTTCATAGACACCTTTTCAGGATGGACTGAAGCCTTCCCAACCAAGAAGGAAACGGCACAGATTGTAGCCAAAAAGATCCTAGAAGAAATCCTGCCCAGGTATGGTTTTCCAGTAATGATAGGGTCAGACAATGGACCTGCATTCGTCTCTAAGGTAAGTCAGGGACTGGCTTCCGTACTTGGGGTAGATTGGAAATTACATTGTGCCTACCGGCCCCAAAGCTCAGGACAAGTAGAAAGAATGAATAGAACATTAAAAGAGACCCTTACTAAATTGACTATGGAGACTGGCGCTAATTGGGTAGAACTACTCCCCTATGCTCTGTACAGGGTTCGCAATTCCCCATACAAATTGGGCCTTACACCCTTTGAAATCATGTTTGGCAGACCCACACCTGTCATACCTAACCTTAAGTTAAGCCTCATTCAATTAGATCAAGATAACAGCCTTTTATCTTCCCTCAGGGCCCTACAGTGAGTTCATGAGGCCGTGTTGGCCTAAACTAAGAGAACTGTATGAGACGGGGCCCCCATCCACACCTCATCAGTACCGCCCGGGAGACTGGGTCCTGGTCAAGTGACACCGACAAGAAAACTTCGAACCCAGATGGAAAAGACCTTACCAGATCATCCTGACAACTCCCACCGCCATCAAGGTAGATAACATCCCTACCTGGATTCACCACACCCATGTTAAACCTGCCGACCCGCTGTCCAACCTCGTGGGACACACTGACAAAAAAACTGCTTGGACTGTAGACCAGAGTAAGAACAACCCCCTCAAACTAACCTTGCACTGTACTCTCCCTAAACATGATCAAGATAATGATCATTATCCTGCTAGCCCTAAACTTCAACCCCCTAAAGGGGGGACTGAATGCACCCGTTGATAAACAGGCATTGCTACAAGCCCTATATGGAAGGCCCTGTGATTGCAAAGGTGGCATAGTTACCACCATTGCTCTGTCACATAGTAAAAGGATAGTAGCTGGCTCCGTAGGATGAGGGGGTCTACAGCGGCCTTACACCCAAACCCAAGATTGTGGGACCACAATCGCTTACCTCACCCAGACTTATGACAGCACAGGATTCGAAAAGCAGCAATGGTTATGTGTTAACAAACCCGAGCCCTTACCCACCATGACAGAATGCCCTTGCAAAACTTTCCAGGAGTCGATACACAGTTCTTGTTATGACTCCTATCAGCAATGTATAGGGCCAGATAATGCTACTACCTACTTTACGGCCATCCTACAAAGTACCAGAGCAGCCATAGCCAGTGATGGCTGCCGTGGCTCAGTTGGAGCCACCATCTGCTGGAACCCTCGAGCCCTATACATGTGTCAGACGGTGGAGGGCCCCAAGACGCTGTTAGACAAATTGAAACGCAAAAGAAACTTAAAGACCTCACGAAACATATGTATCCACAGCTTAACTACCACCCCCTAGTTCTCCCTAGGCACAGCCCTTACTAGTTAGACCCTCAGACAATGTCTATCCTAGAAACCACCTTCTCACTCTTAAACACCCCTAACCCAATTTTAGCCCAAGATTGCTGGCTGTGCCTACCCCAACAAGCTCCCCGACCCATCGCCATCCCCACCATAGTTAATATTAGCATAACCAATGACTGCTTCCCCTCTTCCCTACCTGAACCCTTCCCCGTTCAGTTCATTAGTCCGTTCAACGCATCTTGCTTCATAAGTAACCTTACCTCTCAGAACAACGGCATAGATGTAGGAATCACGTCCCTTGCCCAATGCCACCAGTACATCACTATCAGCTCCTCCCTATGCAGTACTAACACCACTGTATTCGTCTGTGGGAATAACCTAGCCTATACCTACCTCCCCCATAATTGGACTGGAATATGTGTCCTGGCCACTCTGTTACCAGATATTGACCTGGTTGCAGGGAAGACCCCCATGCCCATCCCTAGTCTGGACTTTGTAACTGGCAGATCCAAGCGAGCTGTGGCTGTAATCCCCCTCCTAGCGGGCCTAGGAATTACAGGTGCAGTAACTACTGGGACAGCAGGGTTAGGAGTCTCTATACACTCCTATCTGCGACTCTCCCGTCAACTAATTGATGATGTCCAAGCCTTGTCAAGGACAATCCAAGATCTGCAAGACCAGCTAGATTCCCTAGCAGAAGTAGTGTTACAAAATAGAAGGGGTTTAGACCTACTAACCGCAGAACAAGGTGGCATCTGTTTAGCCCTACAAGAAAAATGTTGTTTCTATGCCAACAAATCAGGAATAGTTCGGACCAAAATTAAACAGCTCCGGGAGGACCTCGCGCGCTGACGAAAAGAACTAGCCGAAAACCTACTTTGGTCAGGGCTCCATGGGTTTCTTCCCTACCTCCTTCCCCTTTTAGGTCCCCTACTATGCCTCCTTCTCCTTTTTACTGTCGGCCCCATTATAATTAACAAAATAATTAATTTTGTCAGAGATAGACTAAACACCGTTCAGGTTATGGTCCTTAGGCTGCAGTATCAGCCCCTGGACACGGAAAACGAGCTTGATTAGCTAACACTGTAGGACCCAAGATTGGCTCCTCGGGTACTTGAAAAAGGGGGGAATGAGAAGCCTAAGAAAACTGAAACTTAATCAGCTTGTTCCGCTTCTGTACATGCTTGAATTACGGGAAACTGAAACCTAACCAGCTTGTTCCGCTTCTGTACAATTGCTTGGCGCGCCCGCGAACTCCTGCCCAATCGGTGCATTACCCGTACCCCCCAGCTTAATGTCAACCAATCAACTCCCCCGCTGACTGGAAATACCCCAAACTGTTTACCTCAGCCTATAAAAAGCCTGCGCAAACTCCCCTCGGGACCTCGGAGCATCACTGTTCGTGAATGCACGGAGGTCCAGGTTCCAACCTGAAATAAATGGCCCTTGCCGCTTGGCTTTGACTCTGGACTCTGGTGGTTCGTTCTTTGGGGTCTCTCGAGCTTCGGGCGTTACAGCAAGACTGTCAGAGTCCCAGATAATACATCTTGCCACAATTTTTGAGAGAACTTGATGGGCCAACTTTCCACCATTTTATCATCTGCAGGATCCTTTGTTTTTCCTATTTCTCTACTTACATCCCTTATGACAAACTCTTTCAGTTCTAAGTCAGCCACCATAACAGCTATGATAGCAATGAGTTAGTTGATTAGCTATAGGGGATAGAACAGATACTAAAGTAGTGTACTATGCCCCAGGGCCTGACTGTAAAATGCAGTCTTTCATACGAAAGGAAAATAATTCTTCATCTGGGTCTCTAAAATACTGGGTGTAAATGGCACATTTCATTTCCAATTTGCATATAATTATAGTTCTTCCAAAAAGTTCCAGCATAATCGAGGGGTGGGAACATCCCCTTTGTTAGGCCAGGTTATCTTAATGCTAGCATTTATCCAATCAATCAAATTAAGAACCTATGATTCTCACCCATGCCTGTAAGTATATAATCTTTGTCACAAGGCAGGTTGAGCAGTGACTGAGGACATTTTTGATATCTCAAACTCATTTACCATAATACCATCTTCCTGAGTATCATACAGTCAACGCCCAAGTGACCACCTCTTCTCAGCCCTTTTGCTTCCCCATACAGGTTTCAGACATTTCCTATCTAATCTCTATCTAATTGTCTCATCCCCAGATGTTCCAGGGCACTACACACCTACTCTCCATCCATTCTATGCAGCTATTCTGACCTTAATCCCCAGGCTTTAGGGAGCCAGAGGCAAGATGGTAGAGTCACAAGGTAGTTATCTAAAGTGGCACCATCTGTGTACCAGAGGGAAGAACAAGATGGAGGGCCAAAGATAGAATCAGTGTTGTCAGTACTAGTACACATGCATTACCAATTGTTCCAGCACCGTTTGTTGAAAAGACTATTATTTCTACATTGACTTGCTTTTGCACATTTGTAAAATTACTTGAACATATTTGTGTGGGTCTATTTCTGTGTCCTCTATTTGTTCCATTGAATTAAGTGTCTGTCCTTCCATCAAAGTCATACATTCTTGATTACTGTAGGAATTTAATAAAGGGTAAATTGGGCGAAGGGATCACTCCCCCTTTATGCTACTTTGTCAATTTTTTTTTAAAGCTATTATAGGTCCTGTGCAATTCATATAAATTTAAAATAAACTTGTGTATGTCCACAAAAACCCTGTTGGGATTTTAATGGGAATTTCGGTGGGCCTATAAATCAATAAAGAGAATTGACCTCTTTACTTTATTCAGTCTTCCAATCGATGAACACCATGTATCCATTTATTTTGGTGTTTGATTTCTTTCATCAACATTTTATAAAATTCAGCATCCAAGTCATACATTTTATTAAGTATATACGTTATATGTTTTGTTAGTATTTCACTTTTTGGAGTGACTGTAAATCATATTTTTATTTTCATTTCTACAATTTCATTGTTGGTATAAAAAATTACAGATAGTGATTTTTATGGTTGATCATGTATTCTACAGCATAACTGAATTCACTTATGTCTGATTTTTTTTTTTTATTCTAGATTCTTATGGACTTTTTTCACAGATTATCATGACAATTACATATAGGGACAGTTTTATTACCAATATATATGCCTTGTCTTACTACAGTGGCTAGAATTTCTACTACTTTGTTGAACGTAAATGGACATCTGGCCTTGTTCCAGATTTTGAAGTGAAGCAATGTGTTTTTACCATCCACAGAATGTTGCTAGCTGGAGAATTTTTTGAAAATGCTCACCTTCAAGTTCAGATAGTTCTCTCCTATTCTGACCTTGCCAAGAGTGTTCTCATTCATGAGTGTTGGATTCTGTCAGAGGTTTTCCTGTACCAATTGATATGATAATGTGCTTTTTTTCCATTTAACCTGCTAATATAGTAGATTGCATTCATTGGTATTCAAATATCAATACAAACTTGCAACTCTGCAATAAACCTCACTTGGTCATGGAATGTGTTTTAAACAAAAATATGTGTACATTGGGGCATCTGGGTGGTTCAGTCAGTTGAGCATCCAATTTCAGCGCAGGTCATGATCTTATGGTTCATGGGTTCGAGCCCAGCATGGGGTTCTGTGCTGACTGCTGAAAGCTCAGAGCCTAGAGTCTGCTTCAGATTCTGTGTCTCCCTCTTTCTCTGCTCCTCCCCTGCTCACGCTCTGTCTCACTCTCTCTCAAAAATAAATAAACCTTTAAAAATTACAAAAATATGTGTATACATTATTGTAACTTGTTTTCTAATATTTCTTTGTTTTGGAGAAGTGTAAGAATATAAGGGTTAATTTTGTAAATTCATGTGATATTTTCATTTATAATTTTATTTTTTGTATGGTCTCTGATTTTCGTATCAGGATAATTGTTTTCATAAAATTCATTGGGATGTTTTCTTTCTATTCCCTGGAAAAGATTTTATAAAATTGGAGTTCATTCTTTTAAAATATTTGGCAGGGACCTCCAGTGAAACCATCTGGGCCTGGATATTTCTTTTTCAGGAATGTTTTAATTACAAATTCAATTATTTTAATTGTTACAGGATGATTCTGATTATCTATTTCATCTTGGTTCAGTTTTAATAGTGTGTTGTTTTTAAGAAGTTGGTTTATGCTAAATTGTTGAATTTAGAAACATAAACATGTTTATACTATTTATTATCCTTTTAATAAGTGGCTACAGGATCTGTAGTAATAGCCTATTTTTAATTCCTAATATTGGTGATTGTGTCTACTCTAAAATTTTTGTCAGTCTTGCAAAGGCTTATTACTTTTTCTATTTTTTTAAATAGCCAGCTTTTTTGTTTTCTGATTTTTCTCTATTTTCCCATTTTCAATTACATTGGTCTATGCTATTTGTTATTTTCCTTCCTTCTGTTTACTTTCAGTTTATTTTTGCTCTCCTTACTCTCGTCTTGAGGAATGACTTCAATTATTAGAGAATTTTCCTTATTTCTAATGTTACTGATTTCGTTTCAGTTTTATTAAGATACGGTTTCTGCATGATTTCAAATATTTTCAATTTAAGTTTCATTTTGTGGCTCAGAATTTTTAAGGATTATTTCATGCATGCTTGCAAGAAATATACTCAGCTGTTAGGCTGAGAGTTCTACATTAGTTAATTATGTCTTGTTTGCATTTTTGAGATTTATACACTTACTTATTTTTACCTAGTAATCTTATTAGTTGTTGAGATGTGGACATTTAAGTCCTGAACTAAAATTGTCAATTTTTCTAGTTCTCCTTTCAGCTCTGTCTTTGCTTCATGCATTTTGAGGCTTTTGTTTGTTACATTTTGTTACCTTTAGGATTATTAGGTCTTCTTAGTATATTGACTTGAAAAATCATTGCATAAATGCCATTCTTTGTGGTAATAATATTCTTAGCTCTGATGTCCTTTTTTCTTGTTTGTTTTTTGTTTTTTATTATTTTTTATATATTAATGATTAGGATTTTTTTAATCTCTTTAACCCATTTACAAAATTGTATTTTAAGTGAATTTCTTGTAAACAACATATAAACATATAGTGGGCTGCTTTTTTTTTTTCCCCCACATTCTGTCTATCTTCTCTGCCTTTTGATGGGTATATTTAGACAGTTTAGACTTACAGGATTTATTGATATGTTAAAATTATGTGAATTATTTTATTATCTTCCATTTTCTCTAGTTCTTGTTTCTTGATTTTTCTCCTCTTTGGTTATTCAAATCTTTTATTTAATAATGCCTTTTTAATAGTTTTTTAAATCACATGGCATAGCTTTTCTAGCAATTGCAAGGGATTTTGCAAAAATATTTACAGATTATCATCATTAATTGACTGACAAATTACCACCTTCACTGAAATATAGAAATCTTACTTCATTTGGTTACTTCATCTTCCCCATTGTTCAAGATCATTGTCTTGAACACCAGCTAGTGTTATAACTTATGTTTCAATTATCAAATAGAATTTATAAAACTCCTAAGGAGCATGATAGTTTATTGTATGCAGCCATGTTTCTCCTTTTTCCCATGTTACTCTTCCTTTCTGATGCCCTGTTTACTTTATTTCTCTCTCTCTCTCTCTCTCTCTCTAACTTTCTGGGTCAATTTTCTTTTCATGAATCACAAAGGATTCACCCTTGGTGTTTTATATTCTATGGCTTTTAACAAATGTATAATAACTTGTATACACCATTGTAATATCATATAACTTTTAGTTCCCTAAAAATGCTGAGATCTGTGTACCCATCATTCCCTCCCTGAACCCCTGGTGACAAGAAATTGTTTTACTGCATCCATAGTTTTGCCTTTTCCAGAATGTCATATTGTTAGAATCACACAGCATATAGTCTTTTCAGATTGGCTTTTTTCACTCAGTAATATACATTTATGGTTCTTGTTTTCTTTAGGGCTTGATTTTTTTTTTTTTTTTTTTTTTTTAGCACAGAATAATATTCCATTATCTGGATATACCACAGTTTTTATCTACTGTCTACTGGAAGACATCTTGGTTGATTCCAAGCTTTTATGAACATCCATATGAAAATTTTATGTGGACACAGGTTTTCAATTTATTTGGTAAATACAAAGAGTGTGATTGCTAAATTGTATGATTAAAGTAAGTTTAGGTTTGTAAGA